GGTCGCCCTTCACCCAGGTCCATCCAGTGGATGGGGAGGCTTCACTTCCACAACTCCAAACGGGAAAGCTAACTATTACCATTGCCAGGCATTTCACCTGTTTGCTTGTCAGACAGTCACCTCTCTCCTCAAGGCTCATACACCATCCAGTTTTTGCAAGTTCATAACACATTTTCTACGCTATTGAGTTTGGCTGGATTCACGCCAGAGACCTATGTGTAAAAGACTAAAAACAGAAGGAGGCTCTGTTCTACTAGAAATTTATTTAGCAATCAGATGGAAAACTTGGCTTCAGGGAAAAAAAGAGTTAGATACCAGAAAGAGATGAGAAAGTCAATCCTGGATAAAAGTAGTTCTAATTTTTAACATAAATGAAAGTGTTATTAAAGGTTTGTATATGAGTCATGCCAACTTTATGTAGATGAGAAATGTAATCAAATGGTATCTAAGTCATTATAAATTTTGCTATTTACACAAAAGAGGAAAAAGAATGTTTCCTACTTTCCTACATTTTTCATGTTTCTCTTCATATGCTGCATACTTATTAAAATGTAGGGTTTCAAGTACCCATAGAAAAAATACAAACGTGCAGAGAGAATAATCACTAGAAAGAAAAAAAGCAACCAAGTCCTATAACTGGATTTAAAATAATTCAGTCCTGTCTAAAGAGTCAAATCATGTTCTTTTTCCTCCCTACATAAAAGTTGCACTCATATTCATAACAATAGAAGAAGAAAAGCACAGTTGCTTCAAAACACTGGACATAGCTTTCCAGAAACAAGATAGCAACTACTCAGAAATGCTATGGAAAACATTAATCACATAGTAACTTGCTATTTACATTAAAGATAGTAGCCTTTAAAACTAATTAAAAATAAAAGCAAAAAACCCCACAGTTTTGTGTCTAATGTGGAGTCTCTGTTCTTTGCTTTTCATCCAGCATTTCTTTCGAGATACATATCTATATATACAGATATATGTCTGAGCGAGATGTATCAAAAGCTAAAACATGTCTGGATGGAGAGCCTGCAAATTTCATCTCAGACTACATTTGCAGTAGACAAACTCCCACAGAAAAAAATGCTGGAATGACACATTTTAATGAAATTACATTCCCCATCCATGACCTACATAGGATCCATGTAGAAACTTAAACACCTCAGTCTGTAGAAGTGGAGCTGACAGCAGCATTGCAAGTTCCCCGGTGCCGCTGTGAGCATCCCAGCCCTCGTGGTTTCCATCCCCACGGAGGCTGCCGGGACGGGTGCAGAGCAGGGCCAGTGGTGGTGATGTGGAGAGCTGTCACCCTCTGTATGGACTACAGACGGGATCCAAATCCCTTGGCAACCAGTGGAAGCCACTCCTGTTGATGCCAGCGGGAGCGGGGCGAAGGCCCAGGGCAGCAGCAGGCTCCGAGGACAGGAGAGCAGGACGAGGCATCGCCGAGCCATCCAGCCCCAGCGCTGCCACTGCATTGCCCGGCGGGCTCTCAGTTCTCACTAGGATCTACAAAACAAGTCACTGCTGTCGTGCTTCTTCCACGGGACGACGGCTGGACCGGATAGGAACTGTTGAGCACCACAGCACTTCTTATTCTTACACATGCAGGATGCTAGTGGGCAACTGGCCCCAATTTCTTATTCAGAACCAGGAAAATCCAGCTGGAGGATGTGCCCCTTAACAGAGGAAAGACCGTCTATTCTTCCAGCAGTCAGCACTCAGCTGCCTGGTCTCCACCCCAACTTGCTGAAACCAGTGCAAATTCACGGGAAAAAGAATTGTCCGCATTGAGAGGGTATAAATCCTTCCTTACGTACGAGAATGGTACAAGCATTTACCCGGCATCTCTATCAAATATCGTAGAAAAGGTTACACAAAAATATTTAAATATATGGATACAGATACATAGATATTACACTTGCATAAAATATGTATATTCAAAACCCTTTGGGCAGTTTCACAGTTAGCTGAAAATGTATGCTTCAGAAATATGAACAATTTCCTACACTTTTCTAGTTGAAGCAGGAGGGGGGAGGGGAAAGAAGCATCATCCTTATTAATACTGAATGCTAAGTGCAGAAGTTTAGCTGTAGCTGTAGGGCTTTGAAGCAATTGATTTGACAGAACCTCCAAGCATAAACTGTTTTAAAAATCCACATCTATTCCCTAGATTGCTTATTGTTTCATGAAAATGAAAACCTACGTGTCCTGCTTGTATCAGCTAGATCTCCTGAGACCATTCAATTAAACCTCATAAGCTTGCAGTACTTCAAGATAGGATTGTGTATTGGGAGTATGCATGAACGTTATTGCAGTATTTCTGTGTGATAATAAGAATTTATAACTTCTCGTATCTCATATAATTTAACTTTAGAAATGCAAAACCTTAAATGACACCACAAGAAGCTCACAGTTCTGAGAAAATTAAAGTCAGTATGAAATTTTACTTATAGACCACATAATTTACATAGATTTACATAAATACAGAGATATTAAAATATTAAATCAAAGCTAATTAACAGAGGATAGAGTTTTACATGATAACATATTCTAATTCTAGTTACATCTTTGCAACTACTTTTAGTGTAATGAGATTATGTAAATAATATATATACCTATATATCCATAATATATATAAAGATATATATATCTCTATCTCTCCATCCTTCTTTTTTGCTTCAAAAATAGGGCAGTTTTATAACTGCAATGAGATGTGACAAGCAGTACACTTCTGGGGAATTATTGCATGCCTTGAGTGCATAAGGCAGAAGGAAGAGTATCTGACTTCAGACACTAAAGAAGTGGAATCATCAACCAGAAATGCACTGGAGTGATTTGGAACATCTTACTGCTTTTATAAAACTCAAAATTATACACTGGGTTGTTTTTTTTTTTTAAAGGCACAAAATAAAGGGGAAAGTAATATCTCTCTATTTAGTGGAGTTCAACGATCAGGAAGCTCCATTACTGTTCACTGAACACTCTTCATTGTCCTAAATCTATTCCCTGTGGTGCAATACTGTGCTGCAGTTGCATAAGGAGGTTAAACACAAAAGTTCATGCATCCTTTATTAGGGGAAACAAAACAAAGCCAATTTCTTTGCCCAGCAACATTGAAGTAGCCATTAGCATCCGATCATACCAGCTGGCGGGAAGAGTCAGCCATCGCTCCCATCAAACTGCAATGTGCAAAACACCATTCGGTCGCAGGTACGCTTGCCGCACTAACCTCAGCTGGTGGAGCAGCTCCTGGAGCTGGATAGTACAGTACTTGCCCAAAACGCTGGAGGCACGGATCCAAACTCAACAGCAATTTCCCGTCAGACCAGGCAAGATTGGAAAGGGGTAAAACTGGGTAACAGAAACACTGCCCTGAAACCTCTGCATTTTGGGGCTATTAGAGGATTATGGAGCACTTCCGCAACCCTCTTTCCCAGTTTTAAATTGGTTAACAGCATTCACTCCCAGCTCAGGGCCCCAGACCTCCCAGTGCATGTGCCTGGGATTTTTCTAGCCTAACAGCCACCCTGGGAGGCAGAGTACAGCAGAAAGGGAATAAGTGAACACAAAATATTGAAAACTGTGGACTATTACTATCATCTCCTCAAATCACTTTGAATGCTGGGATAGAAAGAAAAAAAAAAAGAAGAAATCCCTCAGGATCACTTTTTCTTTGCTGTATTTTTAGATGTTAATATGCACAGTAGAGGGCTGCCTCTGCTATGATACCACACAAGATGTTTCAAAGTTTGGATACGGCACTCTGTTAAGGCACCTTCAAGTAACGGTCATTGATTTAATCGCTAAGCAAAGCCGCATTTTCTGTACCCGACGCTGCTTCCTCCAACACACACAGTACTAGCAGCCACTCACACCTGCCATCCACAGACAAAAAAAACTCCTGGTGCTTGCTAGGGAGAAACTACACCAGCCACTTCTGAAATAAATATTTGCCAGGGTTTAGGAGCGGACGTGTTGCACAACTGTGTGGTTTGTTCCCCAGAAGGGGAAAGGGGAGAAAATTAAGTGTTGTCCCTAACTGTCTACTAGATTAGGAGGGTTAAAAATATGTATCAGCCTAAAAAAGTAGAAGCCAGCTCTGTACTGCTGCAGGATTCCTTGCTGGGAGGCGAAGCTGTAAACGCAGGCGTTCAGTGTGGGGTGCCTGGTGCAGAACTGGATCTGTTTCAGGACCAAGAGGAGGTACAAGGACACCCTCCCCTGGGAGAGGACAGGCAAGTTACTGCACATCACCTCACCCTGCCACACAAAACAGTACTGGGCGTGGGTTTCACGTTTCATGGCGTGGGGATGGGGACATTTGAAGATGAGGGGGGCTGAGGGGAGAGGAAAGCTTGGGCATCGCTCTGTGCAGACAGCTCGCCCCATCCCCCCAGATGGTGGGATGCTCAGCGCTGCAGCTGGGGTGCACAGGGCCGTGGGGCCGGAGGGCGCTTGCAGTTAAGCCCAACTAGGGGTGGCCATTTCTACACAAAACAATATCCAGCCCTGGAAAGGAGTGAGAGGGGTGGGAGAGGGGCATAGGTCCTAGCACAAAAGGAGAGACCAGGGTGGGCTGTCACTCTGCTCTGAGGGGACAGGGGGTCCCAAGGCACCCACCAGACCTGCCTTTCCCCCACACACCCCAACCCATGCCATGCAATGGTGACACAGGGTGCAGCGGGAACCCCAAGAGAGTGGGATCGCCTCGGTCCTCGGGGTAATGATGTCCAGGGAAAAGGGATCCCCCACCCCTGACCCTCTCCTCCAGGTGGACGACTTGGTATTTGGTAGCTGTGTGCAGCTCCTTCTCCAGTAAAAAGATGCATCCTTTTCTCGCACAGTCAATGAGAAACGCAATGGGATCTGTCATGCGCTTGGATTGTGGGCTTGTTCGTTCATTTGAATTAGCAATGTTTTCTTCTTCTTCGGGGACTAGAGTAATCACTCAGGTATTTACAAACACCAACCAGCGCCTTCACGAGGTCTCCCCCAAAACATCATGACAAAATCACTGTCTGCAAGAGCCCTGCACCAGCTGTGTCCAAACAAGCCCGTGCTTGCTGAGAGCTCGGGGCTGCCGAGGGAGAGGCGCGCTGGATCTCCGAGTCCTGGGGGGGTCTTCCCAGACGGCTGTCTCTTCCTTGGGGTGCCTCTCCCTGCACCCCCATGCTGCCGCTATTGCTGCTGTGGGTGCAGTGGTCCCGCTCATACTCCTCTTGAGCCTTTTGCATTTTCCGCTTCTTCATCTTCCTCTTGTGGATGTGGAAGGTGGTGAGGGAGAGAAGGATCAGGCAGAAGATGAGGGTGACCAGGACAATTAAAACCAGGGTGGATGAGAAGGACTGGAAGAGTTGACCCACTTGCGTGATGCAGGTGCTGCTGGCGTTTAAGGTGGCAGATGTCCTGTTCAGAAGACAAGGTGGCAGGGAGAGCCTCAACTCCTTGGAGAGCTTGGCACTCATTGAGGAGGCTTCGGAAGATGAGGATCTTCCCTCTCTGAAGACGCCTAAATTTCAATCAGTGCCGGGCTGCTGGCGGGCGCTCGCTGGAAATGCCCGGGGTGCTGCCGGCTCAGCCT